TTTTTTCAAGCCCGTGGAAAGGGATAGAGGAGCTGACAAGCGAAAGCTAAATATACAAGCGCCACCAGGAAGAGTTCCAATCCCTGCTCCCCTCCTCCTCCTCCTCCCTCAAGCCGAAAAAAGCGGCTTATCCCTGTGACTGTTGTTGGATCGAGTTCGTTGCCAGCGTTGCCTAAATTCACGCGCGCCAGATCAACTAACCGGCGAAAAGAAATTTGCAATTTCCTCCGCGCGACACGCCGACGTTTTCGTCCCCCTTCTCGAATCTGTGGAATCTCTCCGGGCAAGTGTAAAAATATGACGGCTTCTGCTTCTCCGGAGGAAGAGTTTGTCAGTTTGTTGAATTCTGAATTTTATTCTTTGGAGGGGGGAAGATATTTTTGTTGGAAATTGAAAACTACGGAGACGAAGGGGAATTGTTGAAGAAGAAACAGAACCATTGTACGGCTCGTCATCACCGCGTCGTCACCATCGTCATTTCCCTCCTCCATCTTCAGTTCCGTCGTCATTGTCTCGGCCAGCCGTTTTCACGCGTCTCATTATCCCGTCTCGTTGGCTGAACCCTCCGTGCGGATGAAAATCACCCGTGAAGAATCGTCGCATCCCAGTTTTTCCGACAGTTTCTGCAAACATAAAGTAACGTGTACTGCGGCCTAAACGAAACAGTTTTATTTCGATCCTCGTTCATTAATACTTAAGTTGTTATCGTATAAATTCTAGAAAATCTTGAATTGATCGGAACGTGATTTAACTCTGATGATTATTCTGGGATGAATTTTTTAGGTAGCGAATGCTTTTGAATCGATGATTGAAGAATGTCTTTGCTTGTTTTTTCAGCTATAGCTCAGGTGGCGTTGGGCAGCGTGCAAGGCTATCACGGGCTGGTTCTGGCTTCCGGTTTATACGGCGCGTCCTTGGGCGGTGCTCTCTACTCCCTAAAAATGCTGGCCCTCGAAAGACTGAGGGCGAGACACTTTGCACGCTCCTGGGCACTCGTGCAGGCCGCAGAAGCATTACCTATTCTTCTCGGAGTTCCTCTTACCGGTAAATCGCGTTCCTTTATCGCGTGTATTTTCACACTTTTGAATCGCTGTCATTTGTGCACAGTGTAGTTTAATTTTAACTTCAACGCTCTGTCTTCCGTACGGTGTAAATCGTGCACGTTCATTTCTTCGTAATTTAACAGACGACGTGCTTTAGTTTACTTACAACAAAATTGCAGTAATTTTTTAAAATAATTTATTTTAATTTTAAAATAGAAATAATTTATTTTTAAATAGAAACAATTTAAAATAATTTATTTTAAATAGAAACAATTTAAAATAATTTATTTTAAATAGAAACAATTTAAAATAATTTATTTTAAATAGAAACAATTTAATATAATTTATTTTAAATAGAAACAATTTAAAATAATTTATTTTAAATAGAAACAATTTAAAATAATTTATTTTAAAATAGAAATAATTTAAGATAATGTACAAAATAATTTACTTACAACAAAATTGCAAAATTTTTTAAAATAATTTAACAATTCTTTAGAGTTTCTTTCCTTTGTTTGTATGCAAAAGAAACTGAAAGAATTCTTCCACCGATCAAATGAACAATGTTCATTTTTAAAATATTGAAATTTAAAATTTAAAAATATTTAAATTGAAAGTTTGAAATATTTAACGACAGAGAATCAAAGGTTAAATTGCCGTTTGTGAGAAATCTTTTGAAATTTTACTAGAACATTTCCAATAACAGAACTTGGAAATTCATTCTCTTAAGAATGATAATATCATAATTCTCCTATTTAGCACCATATTTTCTTAAACAATTCTCGATATAAAGACGCTCGGGTCTCTAAATTTACAGGTTACATGAACGCGAACAGCTCGAGGGTGGGTTACTACGCGTGCACGTTAAGTTCCTTGTGCGGTGCAGCGTTGCTCTTCCTGGTTGGCTGGGGCCGCCAGCCTGCGTCACCGTTTCTTTCTGCCCCGAACCTGTCCAACGTGAGCATACCGCCGCCGTGTGCGTGCCCTCCGCCGCCAAGGCCAAGGTTGCCAAAGTCGCAGTCGTTGCACGTACCGTTGGACGTGCCGTTGGAGGAGAGCCTTCGCGAGAGAGAGATGGAGAGGATGCACACTGCCGAACACTATTATCAGCCGCAATTCTACGGCCCTCTGAGACCCAGCAAGAGCGTTCCAGAGGGTTTGAGTCATCAGGACTCGTACAGGAGTCGGCCAAGACGACACAGAGACGTCACGGTGATCGAGCAGATCACCACTAGCGTTTAATTAATTAAAAATTGCGGGGGGGGAGGGGGGAGAAAGAGGGTGGGAGAGAGAGAGAGAAAGAAGGAATCAAATATAGTTGGTTGATTGAAGCTTGGAGCTGTGATGGAGTTGTTGACTGTTAGTTGTTTTAGATTGGGCCTGACCAACTCTCAAACTGTTCCACGTGGTCGAAAAGATTTTTCATTTAGGCTTTTGTTGGGTGAAATAGCAGGCTTGAACTAAAAGTACTGGTCTAGGTAAATTTTTCTGCCCTTTGAGTTATATTTATGTGTATTAAATTTTCTAGCAATATTTAGGTCAATATTAAATTTCCTAATTTAGGTTTTTGTTTGGTGAAATAGCAAGCTTAAACTAAAAGTACAGGTTTAGGTAAATTTTTATGCTCTTTTGAGTTATATTTATGTGTATTAAATTTTCTAGCAATATTTAGGTCAATATTAAATTTCCCAGCAATCATTTAGGTTTTTATTTGGTGAGATAGTAGGCTTAAACTAAAAGTACAAGTCTAGGTAAATTTTTATGCTCTTTTGAGTTATATTTATATGTATTAAATTTTCTAGCAATATCGTGGCAATATTTATATTAAATTTGGGAAAATTCTGGAATCATTTCATTAATTTTAATTTCCCGTTTTAACAGATAATTTTCCAAGTTGAAAGAGAATCTTGATTTTTTTTTTTACACATAACATCACAGTGACTCCAAACTTTTGAAGTGCAACGTACTATTGGAAATAAACTGAAAAAAATTGAGCTCTGACAAGAAAATCATATATTTCTTGTTGTTGTTGTTGATCTGAAGTTCGTTTATAAATAATCATACAATTTGCTGTGATGTTCATTTTTAAAGAACATCGTCTCCTTTTGTTGTACTTTAGATCCATGGAGCAATTTGAGTTAGTCAGACCTGTTTTAGATGGTCGGACGAGGTTCGAATTGAAAGGATGCAATTGTCGCGAAGTCTTTGATCGTTATTTACGCGAATTCGTACGTGCATCACTCTTTTTCCGTCCCTTCTGTCCAAAGGGAGGAGAAAGAGGAAGACTCGCAACAGCTTGTCTCGGAGACCGTAAATCTGAGACAATGAAGGACTTTACGATGAAGGAGGATCTTTACGAGCACGGTGAATCCGGGATTGTACCGTTTTCTGCAGAGATCCAAGAATGGCGGGGTAGGAAGTACGTTTCACTTTTTTCTCGGAATTTTTCACGCCTTTCTAGAGTTACTGGAGAATAATCTAACGAGCCTTCGAGAGAAAGTGTCTCTCCTGGCGTTCTCAAAGCCACTGATTTCTAACACTGGTTTCAATTGAATCAAACTATAGAATCAATCGAGATTGGCAAACTTTTATTTTGCTTCGTCGCCGTTAGAGAAAAAATAATAATAATTTTTTAGTGACATCACGTCCAATGTTAAGTATGGATGTATCTGTAACTTTCAAATCTTACTGTTGTTTCATTCATTTTCATCATTACTGTTATTACTAAGTGTTCTGTTTTTTTAACAGCGTGAAACGAAATCACTGCAGGATTCACATTCAAGTTCACGTTTGATTGACACAGTCAAGTCGCAGTAAATTTAACAAAATTTTTACATTTTCCTTCGAACGTAGAGAATGAGCTGAAACCTCCTACCATCTGCCTGTCGTACTTTTTCTTTCGCTTTAACTCTTAACCCAGCTATTTCTCGCCAGACCTTCCCCACTCGCCGGCAAACAAAAGCCAGATTACGCACACACTGGCTTTGAAACGCCAGAAAACGTCACTTCCTAAATCACTTAGCCTACTCTTTTGTCCGGAACCGAAATCCCTGTGGCTGGGAACAAGTACGCCAAATGATCCCCGATTATTCATCGTACAAAGTGTTTCTAAATTGGTGATTCAGTTCGAAAAGGGGGTGAGAGTCTGCACGACGAGATAAATCGATACGGGTAAAAAGTCGGCGATTCGTCAGTTTTCCATTTGAAACACTGTGTCACGTAAATTCAATTGTGTTGTGTCAAACATTTTTTGGTTTCGTTCCCTGTGTATCAGACGATTCAGTTATTAAAAAGCATGAAGACAAACGCAAAGATCGATTAATGATTTGCACAAGTACAGAAACTCAGAAGTATATATTGCCAGACGTGGATAAGTTAATCAAGCTAGACAGAAAAGTTCTATCAAATATTCGTTCCTTCTCACGGTCCAGATATATATATATATATATATATTGTAGACACGTGTTTAAACGAATTAGCGTCCAAATTAATCTGTTATGTCGCATGAAAATTACGAAGACACAGGACGAACAATCAGCCTCTTCAAATTGCGTCGCCAGTCGAGCAACGCCACGACCATGCCACGTTACCGCAGACGAGAATTTACAGAACGAAACCGCGTGGAAACGTCGGTTGCTCTTTAAAATCCGACAATTATTGCTGGTTGATGCGCGCGAGCCGGAAAGCGGAAGGGCAGCGAGCGAGAACGGGTTAGCGCCGCGTAATCCGGGCCTCGGCTCGGTTAATCGAAACGATCTTTTGTACGCGTACGCAATATCCGTGAACAATACGAGGGCTATTATCGCGACGGCGTTCGGCGGGCACACGTCACGTGTGTGTGTGTGTGTGTATACACTCGACGCAGCGCGCGTCGCCGCTGACATCGAAATCTCGTTGTCATCGGAAATTCTATTCAACCGTGGCAACGATTGGCAGATGCCAGGCAAACGACGCGTGTCGACAACAACGGCCGCGATCGTCCGCGGGGCCGAATTACGCCCCCATCGTTCGCCACCGATCGCTGAAATTTTCCAGTTTACGTCCAGTTTACGATTGGCCGCGTCAAGTGGGTGGTCGATCGTCGATCGTGGAAACGAAACCGCCAGTTCACGAAACGCTGGATCAAGGAGGGAGAGCTCGAAGCTTGGGAACCTTTGTCAGAGTTATAAAAAATTAGGAAATTTTAGATGTGAAATGAAATTGTAAGTTTAAAATTTGCGTGATATTTTTATTTTTATGATATTTCGATATAAAAAAGAAATTGCAAGTTTAAAAAAAATTCCCTACTGGGCTTTTCGTCTCATCGAGCGCTTTAGCTTTTTCAACTTTTGCAGTGACTGACCTAGGACAAGGCATTTCTGATTTTTTTTTTTTTTGTTGAATTTTCAGCCAAGTAGTGTGAACTTTGCTGTAATTTTTCTTTTTTTCTTTTTTTTTTTTTGAACGAAGGATTCGTTAACTTCTTGTATTTGATTTAGGAAAGAGCTCAAATCAAATTTGAAGGGAAATGAAATGATTTTTAACTGAGAAATTCATCGAATGATCTATTTTGTTGGATATTGAGGAAAGACGATGAAAGATGTATTTTTATTTTTGGGAGGGTGTTGTCAGAACGTCAGCGGTTTCAGTTTTTATTTCATCGTCTGTGGATGATCGGTTCGTTTAGAATAGCGGATTCATTGATATTACAACGTAATTCGAGTTAATAGGATCGAATCAACAATTGTTAATCTGACAATTAAATGAATAATTACTGAATGCGCTGTTCTAGTCATTATGGTGACTAATAGTAGATAAATATTTCATTATACGATCCAATAATTCCAGATTTCAATTTTTATTATTTATTAATACTATTTTTATTATTATACTTTTATTATATTCTATTTATTTTATTATTATATTTATTATATTTTATTTAGTTTATTATTATCTTTTTTATCTATTTTAATATATTTATTATATTTTATTATTATATTTATTATATTTTATTCCTATTTTTATTACTATTTATTATATTTTGTTTATTCTATTATTACCTTTATTATATTTTATTTATTTTATTATTATATTATTATATTATATTATATTATATTATTATATTTATTATATTTTTATTATTATATTTCATTACTATTAATACGATTTTTAGTACTATTTTTATTATCATACGCATTACCGTCTTCTGAGATTAGAACTGAAAATCAAAAGAAGGCACTTCGAGTTCTTCCGAAATGAAGGAAAGTACATCCGATTTGATATGATAACTTCGCCGGCTGAGAAACGCGCGAGACGAGCGCAAATTCGTTCATGAAAATGACTGGTAAAATCCAACTTGAAATTGACGAGTGTTCAGAGAAACGAGTCTTCTGGTGTTAACGCGTCGTGAAAAGGTTTTATGGCCCTCGCCTGTTGACATTGGAAAGCGAGACGATATCAAGACGTATGTAAATGGAATTTTATATATAGTCTATCTGATCTATAATTGAAATATCAAAGTAAGTTAGGGAAATACTTATCCGTGTTAATGGTTTCTTAGTTACGACGTTACTGCGAGAGAAGTATCTGTCTGTGTCTGTTTTTACATTCCTCCTTAGATCCTCGCTGGTTTCTTTCTCAAATTTTCAACATTTAACGCAAGAAATCTGTTCATCCGGCAGTTCCAAACTTTCGAATATTTCGCCGTGAGATCGTTGAGAAAGGTTTCATCCTTCCCCTGCAGTTTCAAAGCGAAAAAAAGAAGACTTTTGCAAGAAACGAAATTCTGAAACGTTGAGCACTTGAGGATCTTTCTTTTCTTTTCCTGTTTAATTAAAATTTTCTTCGCCTCGCGATTTCAACGAATTTCATACCGCAGTTCCGAAACTGTGCTCAGCTCCACCGAGCCCCTAATTCCCGAAAACCCTTTCTACCTAATTAAAAATTTCTCTATCTTTGTAATTTCAACGAGCACCGGACTAGTTCCGAAACAATTTTTACCACGCAAATCCTCAAAGCTTGATAATACCTTCGCTCGATGGAAATTCCCTCTCGACGAAGGTGTTTCCGAACTTGCAGATGTTTCCATTCGAATATCGGTTGAAAAAAAAAGTCTCCTCTCCCTTTGGCGACTTTGAAAAAAAAGAAAAAAAACGCCTCGAACGCTGTTGAGAAATATTCCGAAAAATTTATTTAGAAAGAAAAAGGAAAAACACGGAGATCATATCTTTTCTCGTTTGTGTGTCGTTTGAAAAGCGTTCGACTGTAACAAATGGATCGATACTTCCCTCCCGTGTGTGTTCATAAAATAACATTTAGAGACACGAAGGAACAGAGGCGGAAGAATAAAAAAGAAAAAAAAAGAAAAAAAAAGTAAAAAAAAGGAAACGAAACAAAGTAACAGGAAAGTTGCAACAGCATGAGAGAAATTCAAGTTTCTAGAGTATTATATAACGTGCATAAACGTATAAAGCGATGGAGCTGGCCTCCATGATCAGTCAGAATCGTTAGAGACGTTTGCTTACGTTTTAATATACACTATCGTAGAAAAACCTGGGAAAGTAAGTACAATTATTTAGGAACGATTTAATATGATACGCATGTTAACGACGTTAACGATTTAACGAAAACAGAGGAAAGAGAGAAGAAGACGATCAAGGATGATATATGTAATATATATTACGCTCGACGAATCTTCTGTAACTCGTGTATAAGCTCAATTATTGTCTCTGCTAGAGGGACGATCGTTGTTTCCTTTTAAATTTCTATAAGTAAGGCAAAAAAGAGAGAGAGAGAGAAAGAGAGG